TTTGTTCTTCGGCAAAAATGGAAACAGCTATTGATCCTACACCGGTATAAAAGCGCAAGGATTCAAACAAACGTCAAAGCCGAATTCTGAGCTTGACAGACCGCCAGACGAGTGTGGGCTCCTGGAGTCCTTATGGACCAAGACCCCGGCCTAACGGAGCCAACAACTTGCCAACAAAGCCATCGGCAAACCCCGTCGCGCAGAAGAAACCACCCAGGATGATGGCAACAATTTGGAGGCTTCAAAGTGGAACAAACAGGGCAAGTTGATGCGGCAACAGGTCAAAGAACATGATGTGACTCCCAGTGCCACTCTCACCCTTTTTTCCCCCTTTTCATGTGGTTCCCCCCAAAGAATACAGACTTATATACAACCCCATCTTTTTGGTGGCACCATGTTGGTGGACTAGAGAAATTGTCCCGGAATGCCTCTTTACAACGGTGGGCCAGCTACGCTAACCGTAGCGTTAGCGTAGCGTAGTGTAGCGAAAAATCGCTACAATGTAGCGTAGCGTTAGCGCGTTTTTCAATTTCTGCGCTAACGCTACGCGGAGGGGGGAAAAATTTGCGCTAACGTTTAGCGTAGCGTTAGCGCAATTCCCCCCATGTGCGCTAACGCTACGCGCACAGGGCGCAAAAAACCGCCCGCTACGCTGCGCTACAGCCATTTTTAGCGGTTTTTAGGCGTTTTTTGCCGCTAAAAACGCTGTAGCGTAGCGTAACGCAGCGTAGCGGCGCCAGCGGTGCGCTAACACTACACCAAAATTTGGCTAGTGTTAGCGCCGCTACAAGTTAGCGTAGCGCAGCGGCAGTAGCGGCGCGCTAACACTACACGAAAAAAAAAGAAAAATGGCGCCGCTACGCTAACGCTACATGGGCCTGTAGCGTAGTGTAGCGTAGCGGCCCACCGCTGCTCTTTACTAGATCTGCACAAGACAGCCACTGTCAACATCTTGAATTCGAAGAGCAAGGCCGAGATTTGAGAAAGAGAGCAAGCGGAAACAAGCCATTGTGTGGGACCACGATGCAATGATGGGTGTGAATTCCAAGCTGATGTCCGAGAACCAGAAGGCAGATCTGATCAAGGATGCTAAAGGATGAGGCGGCCAATTTGGCGGCAGTAGCTTCTTGTAATCTTGTTGATCGGTCTCCCTTCAACACAGATTGTGATTCTTTTTTTTTATAATCAAACATGTAGGATTAATGGTCCCCAATCAAGCCCCCAACAACTTGAGATCCTTACCATCCAGCTTGAATTTCCAAGCACTTTCAAACCACCATTTCCTCCTCAGCAGCCACACATGGTAGATATGACGCTCATCCTTCCATGCCCTTTTAACCCAGGAGCGCCACACTCAGCAAGATGGATGGCAAATCATATTTCTTGGGGGGGGGCTGGGAAACATCCACTTTGGAGGAGTCAAAACCCCCCTGTTTGAGAGAGAAGAGCTGAGAAATTTTCACGGCACAAGACAAGCAAGACTGTGCAGAGATAAGACAAGGGTGTATTTGTGCAACAGGAAATCAAGCAAGCGATTGAGCTTGATTTCAATCAGAGTTCAACGGATTCGAGTTCAATTGCTCCTTGACGCTGCTAGAGTTCAATCTTTGGTTTCAACGCTTATTCTCGATTTCAATGCTGAGTTCGATTGCTCCTCAATTTCAACACTGCTAGAGTTCGGCTGCTATTTGGTTTTGACGCCTATTTGAGTTTGGCTGCTAGTCGGTTTCAACACCTATTCCTATCCGAGTTGGACCGCCTTTCAAGTGAAGTTTGCTGAGATTTTTAGTATCAAGTGCGGTGCATGCTTACTGCGCAGCAACTTTAATTTTCTTTTTTTTTTCGGCGAAAAGCGCAAGCTTTGCTGGAAGCGCTGTATGTCAATTATATATTGTGTTTTGAAGAATCCTTGGACGGATTTGCAAGATCTTCCAGGATTTTCACAACTTAAGCTTAAATTTTTAATCCAATTCTTATCTCACAAAGCCATGATGACATCATTGGCAATCGATTTGGCCACAGCAGCCTACAGGCTACAGAGGTGGTCAGCTGACAGCAGCCTCCAATCTGCTCCCTCCCCCCTCACAGAAAACCGTCAAAACCAACCAACCGACAGTGTCAATGGATCAATAATTGACACAACGGCGCAGTTTGAATGCAACTTACCTTGATGGAACGAATAACCCTCCGCCAAGTCGTACCGGATTTGACCGGCCCTTGTTAGTCAAAAGACTGGTCAGTGTTTTATAATCTTGACTATTTTTGGACCCAATGGTGTTTCTAATCCATTTTTTGTTTTCCCCTCCGTATGATGGCACAGGTCACTTGTTAAGAAAATATAAGAATTGGTTCAGTACTCAAAACATAACCAAACCTGCTTGATACTGTCTGTAAAGATGGATGCCTAGATGTGTTGTCCCTGAGGCTGAAGTCAAACCGGATCAAGATTTGTTTTATGAGTCACCTTTGCAATTCATCACCCATCAAATGTAATCAAGTTTTTCTTTTAGCCTACTTAATACTGCAGATCAAGTTACTAAGACCATCTCCACCGCAAGTTGCTATCCGAGCTGCCAAATCTGAAAGTTTGGCAACTGCGGCGCATTTTTAGCAGCTTGCGTCAAGTTGGTTTTGCACCGGAAGTTGCTATAATAGCAACTGGGGGAATGTGAAAGGTCCCCCCCGGGGCAGCATAGACTGCACTCCTTATTGGCCGGTATTACCTCTTTCTCTATAGTGACCGGCCGGTACCGACCAAGGAGAGACTACACTATCCCGTGACCGGTACCTTCCATAGGGATTGTACACTGGTAAGGGTCACTTCTCTGGTGATCTCTAACCGGTATCGGTCCTCAAGAGTATTGACTCTCGTGTGACCGATACGATTTGAGATTCCTATTCACTTGTTTTGAACCAGTATCGGTCATCAGAGAGGGTAAACTCTCTAGTGACTGATACCGATTCTTGGATCGTACATCCACGATGACCGGTGCCGATCTTTGAGAGCGTACATCCTCTAGTGACCGGTACCGGCCCTTGAGTGTACACTTTCGAGTGACCTGGGCATTGGGTGTTGAGTTGTTTCGGGGGAGATGGGGAAAGGTGAGCGGGAGAATCACAAGAAAAACTTGTGATACTCGCGAGGTTGAGCTGCTATCCTGATGCCAAATTTGGTATCGGGATAGCAGCCGAGAGGTGAGTTGCTAAAAAATTTGAGTGTTTAGCAGCCCCGGTGGAGCTGCTAAATCGAGTTTGCGCTGCTATATTGGGTTTAGCAGCGCGGTTTAGCAGCCGCGGTGGAGATGGTCTAATCAGACCAAGTTAGATATCCTCAAAGTCAAAAAGCTTGCTCATTACCTGCCAATACAGCAAACAAACACTGTGCAAAAAATGGTAAATTTTTGTCTTTTGTAATCAATCAATTGCAAAAGGAATTGCTTGGAAAATGGCAAGATTCAAGCCTTACAACCTAAACGCTAAAGAAGTATCACCTAATGGGGGCGTCTGAATCCACTCATAAGCATTTTCTCTCATTTCCCTGTGCTGAAAGCTTGAATCATCCTTAAATTCTCACTTACATGTGGCTATGTTCATCTTTGTATGCAGCCATTTTCTCACTTCTTGTAATCCTGACTATTGTCCCGTTACTCTTGCTCTTATATACCACAAGACCTACCACTTCATTTTTGCTACCATGTTGTTAATTCTGATTAGAAATTCCAGCAGTGAGCTTTCAGATTCTTGTTGTTCATTACTAGATCATGGAGAGAGGAACGGATAGGAAATTTTCCTAGTTACAAGTGTTTATTTTGATTCATTCAAGCATAAAATCTATTCAAGTCACAACAACCAAGAAATGAGTGAGATGCAAGTGAATATCATCATTGAATCAAACACTAACACCGGCTTTTTTACCTGTGTTTGTGTAAGAAGTGGTGACTCAAACAACACAAATGAGGTACGAGGTTCAACATCAAGCCTGGATTTATTTATCATTGATGAGTGAGTCCAATGGATCCTGGGTTATCCTAGGATGTCAATCGGAACCAGCAGGAGTTGCATGGTTGGTTGATTAAGATCCGATACAGTGAGTTTTGAAACTTTTCCACTCCAGGTCACCGTTCTTAGCTGTCATCAATGAGCTTGTAACAAGGATTGACCATCACAAAATCTGCGGTCGCTGGTCGGATCACCAACTTTGGGTTATCGGTCCGACTTGAGATTGGCATGGCCCGTAGTTGCGGCTTGGCTTCTGCAAATCTGAGTTCAACTGGACCTTCATAATAGACTTGTTCTTGTAAAGATCGATCTGTCAACAAAACAACAGCAGAGAAATCAAAACACTAAGAAACTGACACATGGTCAAAAACGAGAGTCCTCAAAGATGCCTTTGGACGGTTGTGGGCCGGTTTGTCAACGTATCCAGGTTTTGGTGGGGGTTGTGAGCATACATGTTTGGGGATCGGAATCAGTAGGTGGTAGTTGTGGTCATGACGGGCTGTGATGCTTGCGTCTGCGATCACAGGAAGGCCAGAGCTGTGTGGCAAAAATCAGCAGCTTAAACTGCTGCACAGCACCGTAACACCATAACTATAGTGCTTGGAAAACTTCGGTTTGTCCAAGCATTATTCAAAAGACAATATTTATGTGTCTTGTATGTGACTCGGTGATGATTCCTTCTGCGGAATGTTCCGAAGCCTTTGATGGCGGCTGGGATTCGTTCTGCGGAGTTCATCTCAAACTCTATGCAGTACAACTTCCTACATAATATTAGACGCAACAGAAGCAACAATCTCGACAAGCGGCGATTGACAACAGATGGGCATGTGGAAACTGGCGATAACCGGCAATCGTAGTCCAGCAACGGGATTGTTTGTGTGTGCACACAGGCAGGAACGATTGAATTCTTCATCACTGATATCCATGCCGAGTCATGGTGACTGAGGGAAATCCAACGCATAACCAGGCTGAGAATCGGTTCCAGGTCATTTATGTAAACCATGATCTCCTCGGAAGATGAACTCGATAGATGAATGTGAGCGGGGCTTTGAGTGCAGGAGATAACAGCTCCGGACAGACTCCGCCACAGTCAACCAGTTGGAAGTTGGGAATCAGAAATGTAAGGGATGGAGTGTCCTTCACTACGACCTGGTCATCCTCTGTTTGATTGCTATATGTACCTTTATAGCCAGCCCTCTCTCATCCTTTCCTCGTTCTCCCAACAGCGCCAATATACATGCGTACCCTCTGCACTTACATTCACTTTTGGCCAACCCAATCCTGACGCAGTACGGGCAACTCTGTTCTATTTTTAAGGCTTCCGTATCCTCAGCGAGTCTGCGGTATACTCGGTTACTCGGTATATCATCACCTTTTATTTTTTTTTCTTCAATTTTTTTTTTCTCTGTATCAAGTTTCGTCCTCTTTTCAAGTGATCGGTCTCAAGACGCCAACCCATTTTTGTCTCTCGACTTGCTCTGGAATAATCGTGTTGGAAGAACGCAGAGAAAACACGAAAAGCGATTTGTAAGGTCTGCACAGATTGACCGCCGATCCTCAAGTGACACCGTATCGGGACCATGAAGCTGCCGCTCGGGACCCTTCCTGATCATGACCCGTTCCCCTTGAGGTCTAGAACCCGTAAGTACCATTCATAACGCGTTCTCTCATCACTCACAAGCTTCCACGGTGAATGCTGTAGTTCTAGAGCTGTCCGCTTTGAATACAGAGTGAGATTGTTGTGATTGCATTGCCCTTCGATCTTCTTCCATCTCCTGCTCGCCGGCCCGAGCCTCTCCATACGGGCCACGACAGAGTGCATAGCAGACTGGCTTCTAATTGGGTACAGCAAAGCAAGTCAATCGCTCTTCAGCATGTGCAGATGGAGTTGAAATTCCATGTCCTGTGATCAGACAACTGTGGCGGTGTTCATGTGCCTCTTCCGAGCTGCCGAAGGCCTTCGAGGCACCGGTGCTCCGAGGTCCGAACTCATGCACGCCCGTGGTTGACTTGCCCGAATGATGACGCGTGCCTGGCTAGATGTTATGTGCTGTGTACATACTCCTCCATCTATGTACTTGGCCACCAACATGACCTCCACTGCCCCCTCGCACCTATAAATATCCAGTTTTCTCAAACAACCTTTTGCCTGCTACATAACCATTCCTTGAAAGCTTCCAAACGCTTGGTTGACTCTAAACTTACCTAATCTGTCTTAATTAATCTGTTTCGAATCCTTCTCGACTGTCTCCTCCAAGGCCCACTTCATAAACTACCGAGATACATGGCCAAGCGACCATTGTTGAGCATCAAGATTCCATCCCTCATCGATCGGGTAGGAAAAGATGAACGAACACCCGAAGTATCATGGTTTTCACCCTTCACACCCGACAGCCCGAGCTCTCGATCCCAGTCTCCTTCAATGTCGAACGAACTTGTGAAGACGGCAGACGCTCAACGAGACACGGCAGACGAAGACGCTCAGCAGTCGAGGTCGAACGTGATGGAGGAGGACGAGGAGAACAGGAACACTCAGCCAACCATATCACGATTGGGATCGCGTTGGTCGCGTCGGTTTCCGCATGGATGCTTGCAGACGATGTTCCAACAGGTCCAACGAACCCCAACTCGACACAAACATCTCTCGACGATTTCGGTCTCGCCCTACTCAGCAATCGATCTTCAACGTCCCCGGCGAAGCTCTCCTCACCACACCCTCATGAATGATCATGATGGCCTTTCGAATTCTCGGCGAACATCAAATCCATTCGATTACTTGAGTCTCCGTCGTCATTCCAAAATTGACAGTCCCACACGTCATGACAAAACGCCCACCCAGCTCGGCATTCGTCCCGTCTTACCAGTCGCCTCGCCAGCAGAGATGCTCACATCCATCCACACACCCAAACATCTCAATGCACCCTGGAGCTCGACCACCTGTTAACTGTAATCTTCCATTGCTTCAAATTGATCTCTGCATTCCTTCGACCCTTCGACGCCTACCCTTTTCCCTCATCCGCATTCCACCCCCAACGGTCTTCTTTTTCCTCCCCTCCCGTTAGCAGGAGTCTCGCATTAACTTTATTTATGCATTTTTTTTTGTCTATCTTAATCATGTAATCGTTTAGCAAGAGGCAAAAAAAAAGTTGAATCGTGATTGGAAATATATGGAAATGGAATTTTAGTTTAGCATCAAAAAAAAACACAAATTGTTGTCTTGGATGTGTATACATAATTTTTTTTCTTAATTCATGATGATACTTTTTTTGTCCTTCTCCTTTAAATCAATCTGACATCAATCACCAGCAATATGCATCCTACAGTTGAACTGAGCCACTGAAAACAAACCCAAATCACATCTCCTTGTGTCTTTTTATAATCTTGCTCTGTTGATTATTTTTTGAACCAATCCTTACAACTTATCCAAAAAAATAATAATTGAATATTGCATGCTCACAAAGAGAGACAGGCAGGCAGAAGACCTTGATCATGTCCATGGCAAAAACTGCATTGCATTTGAGACAATACTGGAGGACTTCCTGTCGCGGTTTAGAGTGTTTTTAGACCTCTCTCAGTTCTAAATTAACACCCTAATCACAACCTCAACTGGATGACTTCCCGTCGCCATTTAGAGTGCTTTTTAAGCCCTCCCCAGTCCTAAATTAACACCTCAATCATAATTCCAACCAGCTCACATGAGAGCCACCTTCACAAGGCTCGTGAAAAAATAATTTGTTATACCAAAAATTAAGATCTAGGGGGTGTAAATTGAATTCTGGGAGGGTTGTAAACCCCAAAGCTCACATGAGGGCCTTCACTACAAGGCTTCTGAGGAAAGATTTGTTTGCCAAAAATCAAGGCCTTCATTGTGTAAATCCAATTCTTTGAGGGTTGTAAATGCTGACAGGAAGTCATCCGTTGGGTCTGTCAGACTAGTTAACAAGCTACAGGATTAGTGTCAAAATATCTGAAAATACCCTGTGTAATGTTGTGTCTTTCAGCTTTGCATTTGAAAAGATTTTGCAACAGCTCTGGTGAGAGTTTAAGCTAGCATCATTTGGTAAGGAAGCATCATAATTTCAAGTCAGGCATGAATATATCCAGCTTACATTCCAATATCATGTGTGAGGCCTCAGTGAGCATTATCATGAGCATTATCAAAGCCTGAGAAAACTGAAAGTAAGAAGATGAAAGATGTCTGTTGAGTTTTTGAGCTCTTGACCGGTTGAAGTTGAGAAATTTAAGAAAGTGGCACAAAGAAGGCAGGGGCCCTTTTTTGGGAAAGGTTCAAGGTGAAGGAGTGAAAAGAACCAATGCTTTTCATTCACTTGCAACTAGCCAGGATTAAATAGACTAGGTACAAGTGGTCAAAAAGTGGTTGAAAGAAAAATGAATAAGAATGTTTTTTTGAATAAAAACTGAGAGAAGATAAAATAAGTTCTTGAAAATAACAAACTAGACAAAAATTCTAAGTCTCTTTTAGTCAGGCCAGATGAGTTAGTCAAGACAAAGTATTTTAAATCACAAATAACAAGGGGTGTTAATTCATGTTAACCAATTTTTAATATCAGACAAGAAACCAGAAAAAGAAGAAATTAATACCGTAGAGACAAGAATGATTGAGTTGAGCTTATTTTCTTGAGGTTCAAATTTGACTCAAAAGAGGACTCAAAAAACAACCAAAAACTAGCTACTTTGAAAAACAACTTCAGTCTGATTTAAGGTGATTAGAAAGAGATGAAAGGCAGAGAGAGACAGAACTGAGAAAAATTCAACAATGTCATTGGTTATATGATTGAAATTTGTTTGAAGCATTAAAATGGTCATATCTTAACAGAGATCCCACCTTTATCTGCATTGTTGCTTTTCAGTTTCATGATGATTATGAATATGATTGTTGGCACAAAGTTTGAAGTATATTTGAACCTCTTAAAAAAAGGAGCAGGTGTTAGAATCTTGTGACTCCCTTCCAAATGTGGTTTTGATGTGGTTTTGCTAGTCATTTTTTTATTTTATTTTTTAATCATTATACTTTTCATCAGCCATTGCCACAAACTGACCCTCTTGTAAGTGTGTGTAGTTACTTAACCTTAGATAGATACACAAAATTAACATCTTTGGTCCTTCTCAAGTTTTCTTCAACAGGAAAGCTCAATGATAATTAAAGCACCACAAACAAGTCCACAATCAGTTTGAAGCCTCCCAACTGGAGTTTCAGAAACCTAGTAAATTGTACATTTTTGAATCCCAATTGAGGTTGACCAGAACAGAGGTAAGGGATTCCAAGGCTATATTAATCCTCAAAGAATCTGAGGATTTTTGGATGTAAAATTTATTAGATTTTGAGGAACAAACTTGAACCTTTGATCAGAAACAAAAGCCATCCACAAGCCTGGCTACATCCACAGTATCCTATCCAATCTGGGATATACTCAGCCAATGCTGGAATGTAGGCTGAGTGAATCCTCAATCAACTAGTATACTCAGAGACTCTCAACCAAGAAAGGTTTACTGGGTGTAAGTATGACAAGGTCCTTATAAACTAATCTTCTCCAAATTAAATCTGGTCCAGGAAAGGTGAGTAACAAGTTTTTCCAAAATGGATATTGTTCAAACAATCCTGATGAGTTGGAGGAGCAAACCCATCAAATATGGACACTTTCTCTATGTGTGATTTGATTAATTTGGGAACTTAAGGACTGATTCCTTGTTCCCTGGGGGGTAGACTTGAAAGATTGACATGCATGTAAAGAAATTTTCTATATCTTATTTTATTGAACCTCCAATCAGTGTTTTTGGTGACCAAAGTTGAATTGGACTTTGATGAGATTCCAGAATGTGTATCTATAAAATTGCCTATTTGTGTTTGATGGTTAAGCGGAATGGTTGTTGACCTTGGAAATACTGTTTTCAACTATGGGCCTCTTACTCTAACAGTAGCATTAGGGCTGTGTAACATGGAAGAATTACACTAAAATTTAGTATAGTGCAGCCAGCGGTGGGCCGCTACGCTTTTGGCCCAAAAAGCGTAGCGTAGCGTAGCGGCGCTTTTTTCATCCAAAAACCGTGGTGTTAGCCGTTTTTTAGCGGTTTTTCGCTACGCTACGCTGCGCTACAGCCAACGCTGCCACAGATACGATACACTGTGTGTATCATAGAGAATTCTGCAAAGCTGCATGGCCAAAAACCAAATTTGTTAAATCTCCTTGCAAATAAAAGCAGATTGGTCAGATAGTTTTTTTTTATTGGGCCTCAGATACATAGTGATACATGGCAGATACGGGCAGATACCGTATCTGTGGCAGCGTTGCTAAAGCGCTTTTAGCGGAAAAAGCGGCCAAAAACCGCTAAAACCCACTGTAGCGCAGCGTAGTGGGCCATTTTTTGCGGCCCACACGCGTAGCTTTAGCGGTGTTGTGGCAGAATTCCGCTACACTACCCTAATCGCTAACAGCAATTCCGCTGCGTTACGCTACACTAACCACTACGGTTAGTGTAGCGAGAACTCTGCCCAATTTGTACTACTGCTATGTGCAAAGGCCACCAAAAAGGTCTACTCCAATGACAGCATATTTTAGCGGGTTTTTGGCCTTTTCCACCCCCAAAGGTGCTCTAGCGCAGCACCACACAGCATAGTCATCAGAAAATGAAACACTAGCCCAGGTGTTGTCTACAAGAGAATGTAACCGCTTAATAATAATTATTATATTTGTTATTTAAGTTGATAGTGAGTTACCTCTTTCTTTGGGTATCTCTCTCACAATAACTAATGTGACTCTCTCATGAAAATTATAACCAAGTTGAAAAGGATAATTGTCTCTTGTGTTTATCCAAGTGATTCTTATGCTGTCTATCTTCTGAAATAATAGAGATATTCTACACATGTACAGCCCCTTGACAGAAAAAATGGAACCGTTTAATTGGAGTCTAGAGGGCAAACCAATGGACTTGAATTTATGCTTCCTGGTGAAACTGTGTAAAATGAGTTGTAAAGAATGATTCTGACATATTGGATAGGAAAATGTTTTGTAATTTCTTTTTATATATTCCCTCATTTTCATTTTTTTGACATTTCTCAATCATTTTTCAAAGTAGCTCAAAAATTCAGGAGCATCACAACTGCATGTGGAAAGAATGATTATAAATGAAAAATTGAGAAAAATCAATGATCAAAAGTTGAGAGAGCTGAAGAAGTTGGATTGAGGATGAAATTGAATTCAATTCCAGTGCCTGATTGGAGGGTAGGTCTGGTGGAGTACACAATCTAGAGATGGCCCCGGCGCATCCGGATATCCGGCTGCTTTTTTTAGGGAAAGAGCCATCCGCAGCTGCTGGCAGGTATCCCCCTGCCTTAGCGGTTATTCAAGCGGGTATCCTCAGATACCTGCCCTTTAAAGGGCTGGCGAGCACATGTACCTTGTCGACTGGATGGGTTTCCTTCCAGTCAGTGAGGTACATGTACAGTGGGTGGACCGTTATTTTTGGCTGCTTGTTTTGGATTCCAGAGCCTCAAAGCACAAGACTTGGTGGATTGGTGCAGAATAGATCCCAAAGAATGAATATGAAGAGATAAAAACAAAAAACAAAGTTTAAAAATTTGTGAAAAATAAAAAATAAAAATGGGTTTTTCCAAAAGCTCTGATATTCATTTTGGGGGAGTGGGAGTGCTGAGAGAAAGAAAGAGTGGAACATGGCCAGAATGATTATAAATGAAAAAATTGGAACCAAAAAAGTTTGAGCCAGGTTGGTTGTTCAGATTGGAGTCAAAACAGTAAATTCTAGTGCTTTTCCCCAACATGTGCTGGTGAATGTGCTACTCAAAAGTTGTTTGAAACCACCTGGTGACCATTTTTTACAAAACTTTCATTTATAATCATTCTTCCCATGTTCCATTCTTTCTTTCTTCCAGCCCTCCCACTCCCCCAAAATGAATATCAGAGATTT